AGTGTTTTTCTGAATTTGCTCAACCTCTTATCGTGCCCACCCAGGCATTGCAAAAGAACATGATCATCGGCTTCTTGTGTCGCATGCGTCACATTCTTCAAGCGGCTGTTCCTAGCACAATCGAATTGCTTCTCCAACTGGCCATCAACCCGGTACGCTACTCGCTTCGTCCAGATCGGCACTTGCCATACAGCGTGTCTGTCGAACTGCTATCCGTTGCAACTCAGCCCCATATCATGCCTTGCAGGCGCCTACTCCTCAGGCTGCGCGCGTAGCGACTATGGCGTTGCAGACCTGTGTGGCCATTGGCTCAGTCGAATCTCTGGCCAGTGTAGGACAAGTACTTGTGCGCAGCGTGCGCTTCATCTTGACCAATAGCCCGGACCACCTGCAATATTGTATTGCCTTGGTTTGCATGCTAATTCAGGACCTAGGCTACGTCTACGTCGAGATGAAGTAAGTAATGACCATGGTGTTGTGCTTCCGAGGCCTGAAGCTGCCAGAGGCTCATGCAAGCTTATCTCCGTGTTCAGCTATTTTGACATGCTCCATCAAATTATTCAACGGCGAACGCGCAGTCATCTCTACGAGCGTTGTGTCAGGTTTGTTCTAATTCATGCGCTCAAAGTTTTACGGACCTTTTGCTGGCAGCTAGCTCATGCGTCTGCACCGGATAAACGTGACCTCCAGAGCACTTCTCATTCGCGAGAATTTCCCCAACGTTCGCACCGAATTGAATCGCGAGGTGCAGCGTATCTTACAAATGGTACGTGCGTTGCAACAACGTTTGTGCTGGGGATTACAAGCGTCGCGTTCCACCCTGAGGTCGACGTCTAGCTGACCAGTGCACGTGTGCCCATCATATACCATCGGCTATGAACTCTCTCACGGCCCCCTGCCCTCCCTCATTCAATCAGTTGGAAACGAGTCGCACCACCACGTCGGAAACCGAGGAGCCGCCTGCGGCCACGACACTTGAAGTCAATCAAAACGTCGTTATGTGAGTTGTGGAGGAGGCCTATCTTCATTTTTTATTCTCAATAGAAATCAAGGGGCAGAGATACGAACAAAAGACAAAACATGACATTCTGCTCTTATTTTCGATGGATCGTGTGCGTGTGTGTGTGTGTGTGTGTGTGTGTGTGTGTGTGTGTGTGTGTGTGTGTGTGTGTGTGTGTGTGTGTGTGTGTGTGTGTGTGTGTGTGTGTGTGTGTGTGTGTGTGTGTGTGTGTGTGTGTGTGTGTGTGTGTGTGTGTGTGTGTGTGTGTGTGTGTGTGTGTGTGTGTGTGTGTGTGTGTGTGTGTGTGTGTGTGTGTGTGTGTGTGTGCGAGTCAAGACTGGATGGAGTGGAAGCGCCGCGTGAACATCGCCCTCATTCGTGAGAGCTCAAGCATCGCCATTCGATCTTGCAATCGCCTAGCAGACTTGCAGCCCACCGTCGCTGAAGGTGTGTGCAAGCTTGATGAGCCGTGTCGCTTGTGGTCAATTACAGAATGTGCTTGTCGTTTCGATCCTACGCAATCTTCTTATGCCGTGCCATCGCCTTTTTTCCCCATGAATGCTAGAGCTCTTTGCCCCTGCCTTCGTGTCGTGCTGGATCAACATGTACGTGTCCAATCAAGAAAGCATGATGAAGCCTTTTGATGAAGTACGTTGGCGACACGCCCGAATCATACCGTCTGATTTGCAGCTCAAGCAATTCCCACGTCCTCGCCTTCTTCGACCTTCCCACGCTGCTCATTCAAACATGTCTGGCGTGGCTTAGATGGTCGGTGATTTCTCCTCGACGCCAAAGGAAATTTGTCTCATGACGCTGCAGCTGGCTGAGGAGGTGGAAACCATGCACAAGGGTCGCCTTCCCTTGCCTTTTGACCGGCTCGCGGCAATTGCAATGGCGGTGCGTCACTTCTTCCCTCAATCAGATTTAGTTTGCCCTGCTGTGACCGAATGTTGCTTTTCGTTGTGGTTTTTCTGAGATGATGATGGAAAGTCTGCATTCTACCAAGTTGTTGGGTTTGTTTGTTTGTTTGTTTGTTTGTTTGTTTGTTTGTTTGTTTGTTTATTTTTTTTTTTTTTGGTTGACTGTAATGCACGCGGGTGGCCCGGTGCTCCATTATGACTGCAGCACGGCGCGCACGCCAAGGCTTTGCGCTACAAAGAGTTTCAGTATGACATGCTCATGCGCGATGAGGTGCGTTGTAAAGATGGCAACAAATACCAGTGTGTGCTCTCGTGGGCTGTGTATCGTTGCTGACTCGAGTAAATTGCGACATGCCATAGACGCAGCAACCACGGTACCAGGTTCAGCGAGGCCCGCTCAATTTTCTCACATATGCTGACTACTTTTCCGATGCCCCTGATGTCATGTCCGTCACATCAGACGAGCTCAACAAACAATTTTGGCACCAAGGTCAGCACGATTGCCTCTGCCTAGTGGCGCTATCACCAACCCTTGACCAAACATCAATCTTATACGTTTTCAAACGCTCTTATTGTCGTTCACCATTGCTCGCGCAGAATTGCGCCAGTGTGTGGATGATTTGGTTAAGATCAACCATGCTTTGAAAAATACAACAGCTGCTAAAGGTTGGTGTTTGTTTGTTTGTTTGTTTGTTTGTTTGTTTGTTTTCTTTTGTGGACTGAATTGCTTTTGCTTCGCGAGACACGCATGATGCAAACTGACCTCGACTTTCTGTTCAGGCGTTCTCAAGCACCTTGAGGAGGCTGGGCGGCTGGAACAAGCTGAGATTGACCCGGCCTGGTTCGAGAGTCTTGGTGAATGGGATGCAGCACTCGAGAAGTGAGTACCACCTGCCGTAAAACCAAAGGCCGCATTGAAGATTGAGGTGCTGCCACCGACTAGCCGTCACCTTCTAGGAAAACTAATTTGATAATGTTCTTGGTAGGTACGGGCAGCTGACGCGGAAGCAGGAAACGCCACACACAGCTTTGGGCCGCCTGAGATGCTATCGCGCTCTTGCCGAATGGGATCGCCTGCACACGGAAGCTTTGCAGGCGACATCCACCCTGCGCTTGGAACTTTGCTCAGAGGAAACGACCACGAGCCTAGTACTGATGGCTTGTACGGCGGCTGTCTCCGATCGCAATTGGAGCGCCCTGGCCAAGGCTGTCACACGAATGCCAGAGAGTGCCTTTGATCACCCTGACGTGGCCTATTTCCGTGCCGTGCACATGATCCACGAGTATGTTCGGTCATTCCCTACGCACCATAGGTTGCGTCAACTCAACCTGACTGTGATTTCTGCCGACAGGGGTAATTTTGCTGATGCCCAGGTCACCATTGACAACTCGCGTCTAGCCTCGATCAGTGAGCTGAGCTACGAACTGGCTACCTCATATGAACAAGGCTTTGATGCCCTTGTACAACAGCAGGTACGGTTGATCACCGCCCTGTCATTGCTGCCATTTCGGCTCTGTTTGACAAATGAAGAGAGCAATTTTGGGTGCTGCTTCAAGAAAATCAAAACGAAGGGATCAAGGAGGACGAAGAAGAAAAAAATCAGGGGTTGTGGGGTCGAGAAAAGTCTTTACTTCACAGCGACCTGACTCGCCTTATTGCCTCGCTCTTCTTGTCTTGTTGGCTCGGCTCGGCTCGGCTTAACTCGGCTTAACTCGGCTCGGCTTAACTCGGCTTTTCACTTGTGGCAATGTACGTGCAGCGCTGGTCGGAGCTGGAAGAGGTCATGCACTGCAAACGATTATTGGCTTTGAAGGACAAGGATGCAACCACGAGCGTGGAACAGCTCTGGTCCCGTCGTCTCCACTACATGCCACGCCAAGCGGCTGTATATGACAAGGTAGTTCTATGCTCCTTCAAGATCAAACTGGCACCGGCACCCTGAGGGTTGAGCATACCACCTTTGAAAGTGCTTTTTAAAAATGCTATCAAACCCAAGCTGACACTCGCTTGCTGGCGGCCCCACTGTGCCACAAAACACACAGGTCCTTCCAGCCCGGTTTCTTGTGCTTAGCGATGAGCAGCATGTGAATGCCGTTCTTGACTACGTAGATATCTGTCATACTGAGGGCAAGACCTCAGCTGCAGCCTCGCTCCTGAGCCGCCTTTTGGTGAGTCCTATCTGGCGTGCACATGCTCGGCAGCAAGGGCAGCTCTGCTCAATCAATATGTGCGTCGTCTCATGCACCACATGCCTATGTCACCTCTAGCAACGCGACATCTCGTCCTTGATCCCCAACAGCGTGCCTCTGCAGGAGCCTGCAATTGCTTTTGCTGCCCTCAAGCATTTGTATCTTCTATCGAGTTCGGTTGAGCTTGACAATGTCATCCGACGTTTGCACTTGTTGTATGACACGACACGAAAGCACAACTCGGGCACACGGCGTTTGCGCAGCAAAATCGCCCTGCAGTGTGGTATTTGGAGCTTGGACAACCGCCGAGACTTGACCATTGAGGCTGCAGGTGTGCTGCCGCTCATCTGTTCGTGTTTCAGCTCAAGACCACCACCGTGTTGCAATTACCAAGCACTCTCACTCCCTCACTTACTGCACATTTCTTTTGAGTAGAGCCGGAGCTTTTGGCAGCAGCCAAATGGTTTCACCGAGCATGCTCTGAGGCTCCAAATTGGCCTGATGCCTGGCACCACTATGCCATGGCCCACTATCGTGCTCTTGGTACGGCTGCGCTACGAATCAACCCTTCTTAATTCCTGGCTTGCCAAAACTCACTGCTGGCCATCTCTAGAACTGTCGACTCAGCAAGTTCGCTCGCAGTCTGGCAGCAACCGTGCATCCTTGGCGGCAACACGACGCAGCTCGGCAGACGTGGAATCAAACACCAACCCTGCCGTGAATGACCATGCCACCGCTGCCTTGACAGGCTTCTTCAAAACCATCAGGTAAAATATACCACACGTTGAAGATATGCATCACACGCCCTTGACCATTCAGAATGGCCGAAAGGCTCATTCAATACTCTGCTTGACATATCGCCGCCAACTAGCCTGTATCCTCCAGCGCAATCGCTCCAAGATGGTTTGCGCGTTTTGAACATCTGGTTCAATCACGGGCATCGTCCTCAGGTCCGGACGCAAATCTCGTCTGTTTGGCTGTGATTTGTTTCGGCCCTATCTTTCTTTCTGGCCTTGCTTGTATCTCACTTGTTTGGCATGGCGTCCAATTGTTTTTCTTTTTCTTTTTTTCTTCTTCCTTTTTTTTTTTTCCTCTCTTTTTACATAGGTGAGCCAAGCTGTGGCAGAGGGCCGTGCTGGCGTTGTTGACGCTGTGTGGGTCCAATTGATCCCTCAGCTGGTCACCCGCATTGACCATCGCTACACAGACGTGCGCAAGGTAAGAAACACGCCCCGAGAGGTGCTGCCAATACATGCGCAGATTTTGCATTCATGCGTTCGTTGCAAATGGACTACTTCTCCTTTAAGGCAACCTTAAACTGGCTCTTTGACATTGGCGAGCGATACCCGCATGCGCTCCTGATCCCGCTACATGTGTCCATGCGAAGCAAGGGCTTGCGGGCCCGAGATGCCTGGGTCCTGCGTGAAAAACTGCGTTCTCGACATGGCAAGCTCGTCGAAGACACCCTCATGGTGCGCGAAGCTTACCTGAAGGCCCTTTTTGTCGTTCTTGTTCTACTTTGTTATCTGCCTTGTGTAGCCCGCGCGCTGGCGTGCAAACCTGTGGCCTAGGCTCACACGTGCTGGCTAAACGGTGATGGAAACAGCTGTGCGATGAGCTCGTGCGTTGCTCAGCTCTGTGGCACGAAATATGGTACATCGCGCTCACAGAAGCCTCCAAACTGCACTTTGAAGAAGATGACACAGCCGGTACGACTCTTACTCTCGTCGAGCATGGCAAACGAGGCACGACCCTGATTCCGTGTGGCCCTCGCACTCTCAATATTCTCGACCTTCAAATGCGTTTTTGCTTGCTGCTGCAGGCATGCTGACCAAGCTGCAGGAAGCACATGCGCTGACGCGTGAGCCACAGACACCACATGAAGCAGCCATTTTCAACGCTTTTCAGGCTGATCTGGTGGAAGCTGAAAGGTGGTTGAACCGCTATGTGGCAACGCAATCCACAGACGACCTCAACAGCGCTTGGTCAGTCCCGGCGGGCGTGTGAAAGAACTTTTGGGCTTGTTTTAGCGCGCATGGGCGGAGCGGGAACGAGGCATGAAGGCAGCTTGCCAGACGGTGGGCTGATTCGTCGGTGTATGTAGGATTTTTTACCATCGTGTGTACAAACGGGCCAATCGCATGCTGCCAAAGCTCACAACCCTGGACCTGCATTCCATCTCGCCGCGCCTGCTTTCCTACGCCAACTTTAATGTTGCCGTGCCTGGTGGGGGAAAGCATCGCACCTGCATCGTATTTGATTTGCTCCATCTTCATTTCGGCGACTCGGCACCTCGAGGCCTCACTTTTACGCCGCCGCCCCTTACAAACCAGGCACCTTTGATCTCGAGCGTGAGCCCATCACCATCCACCACTTTCAGCCTACCCTTTCCGTCATCGGCTCGAAGCAGCGCCCACGCTGCATCAAGTTGGTCGATTCCAACGGCCAGGTATCATCCACGTACCAACACCTCTACCCCTGCCACCGCCTGTGTTGGTTGTCTTTTCAGAGCTACCCCAGGCGTTTCAAGCTCATTCGGACGACCCACATCTGATTGAACCTGTTGCAGGTGCACAAATTCTTGCTCAAGGGCCAGGAGGATCCGCGCATGGACGAGCGCGTGATGGATTTTCTGGGGCTTGTTAACAAGCTCATGAGGGCCGACGAGTCAACTCGCGGGTATGTGCAAAGCCAATCGTGAGGCGCATTTCAGCTCAACGCTTGGCCACACATAGATGACATACCAACTTGACCAAATAGGAAATACCTACCCATTCGCCGTTATACCATCACATCACTCTCGGCCGACACGGGCCTCATCGGCTGGCTTCACGACTGCGATACCCTGTACGAGCTCGTGCGCACATATCGGCAGGAGCATCCCGAGGTAAGATAAAGCTGAGGACTGGCGCTCAGGAGCATCCAAGCGCTGATACCTTTGCCCCGCCATGATCAATTAACCACTGCGGACTCAATTCACTCCCAATTTGTAGCTGCCGCTGACTGCGGAACACTCTTACATCCGTCACAATGCGCCGGAGCGGCTAGATGGTCGTGGTCGACCATCGGATGAGGGCTATGAGCGCCTGCCACTCATGCAACGCGTCGAACTTTTCCTGAACAGTCAGTTGTTTATTTACGTTTCATTTTGGATTGTTCTTTGTATGTTTGTTTATTTGGTTTGGGTCACACGCACTTTGTTGAATGCACTTCTTAGGTTGTCGCCAGACCCGGGGCAATGATCTTGCGGAGATGCAGTGGCGCATGTCATCAGATGCTGAGTCCTGGTTTAGTCGTCGGCTCAACTACATGCAGTCACTTGCCATAATGAGCGTCACAGGTGCGTAGTTCTACAGCGTGGCTGTGAATGGCATGGCCGCCGTCCTAGCCGTGGCTCTGCTGCCTGTGGCTTCAGCGCCTCGTGTCACCCGCTTTGTTGCCCTTTGCCTGTTCTGCCTTGGTAGGCTATGTCATCGGTCTTGGTGATCGTCATTTGAGCAACATCATGCTGGACCGGCAATCTGGCCAAGTGGCTCACATTGATTTTGGTGACTGCTTCGAGGCTGCGCAACAGCGCGCCAAGTATCCGGAGAAGGTGCCCTTCCGCCTTACCCGCATGCTGATCAATGCCATGGAGGTACGATGATGATGGTCTTTAGCAATCTGTGTGACCGTCCCCTCGGGCTACTTGACCTCCACACTCGAGTGGTGATGTGGCCCGGTGAAAGTGCGGAAGGCACTTGACTAAAGCATGGTATGTTTTCTGGGTGAACAGATGGGTGGTGTGCGCGGCACTTTTTCCTCCACGTGCATGACGACCATGCACGTGCTGCGAACAAATAAGGAGTCTCTCTTGGCCGTATTAGAGACGTTTATCTACGACCCGCTGCTATCGTGGCGAATTGTGCAGGAAAAGGACGTGGACATGTATGAGGCTGTGAAGACAGAGCATGGGGATCCCCTGCGCTGGACAGCGGAGCTCTTCAAGGCTCGGCTAGATGGCATCCGTCGCCGCTCGCGCACGGGAGACGAGCGCAGCAAGCGCCGGACGGTGCGAGCCCATATTGCAACGCAGAGCTCACGCGGTGTGTTGGCCAAGCACTCCAGCACAGAAGAGGAGAAGAGCTTTGACTCAGATTCACCTCACGGCAGCCAGGATTGGGATGATGACACTGGCGTGATCCAGAACGAGTCAGTCATGATGGACACGATTGACAACGAGAAAGCCTTAACACTCATGCGACGCGTTAAGGAGAAGTTGGATGGCATGGAATTTGGCACACAAGCACATGCGCGCATCACAAAGGTGGGTGGATGGGTCATGCGAGGAAGGAGAAGGGCATTGACATGTCTGCAGAAACCATGTCTTTGCACCGTGAGGACGAAGGGCCACCCGTCCTTTCTATCAGCCTTTTGCGTCGTTGTGCTCACGATATGCTTTTGTTTTGGCGTGCCTGTGCATCGCTTTGTTTCTGTTGTCTTGTACTGTGTTTGCCGGTCGCTGTGCTTGGATGTTGGGTTCTCGCAGCGAACGTCTCTGCGCCGCAGCCATCGCATGCGCGGCGAGAAGCGAGGGCCGGGCGGTGTGGATGTTGAAGATCAAGTGGAGCGCATCATTCAACAGGCCTCCGACCCGCGCAATCTGTGTCAAGCGTACATAGGCTGGTTCCCATATTGGTAGATGGAGACCAAGGTGTTTACACATCATGGAAAGTGGAATGACGTGTGTTGAGTGTTTGAATTTGACCAGATGGTTATTGAACAGAAAGGGCGTGGTGAAATTGTGCATACAGCTCGCGTGCGTGCGTGCAAAGTCTTATTTTATCGAAGGCTGCGGCCTTGACCGCCAAATGATTTGAAAGATTTGGCTTCCGTGTCACTCTTGGAGTCAGCTGCATTCCCCGACGCGGCTGACCCCTGAGCATTTCGGGCCCCTGCTGATGCAGTCGAGGGTTTGAACAAAAGCTGTGGACAAGGCATGACAGTAAGGGGTGTGCGTGAAAGGGGGGGTCATTGCGTCCGCATAAGAACGAGATGGGGGCTGTGCCTGACCTTGCCCGGTTGGAAGGTCTTGATACGAGCTTCAGCTGCTGCTGCACGTTGTGCAGCAGCCAGAGCCTGCGCATCACGCCCCAAAGCACTAGATGACGTCCGAAAAGTGAGGCTCTCAACAAAAACAGTCGCGTGAGGGGTGGCGCGTAACGAGCACACGAACCTTTGGACAGCAGTGGCAGGGGCGTCTCCGCCATGCAAACTGTTGCTCTCTGTGCCCTTGATCTTGCGGCCATCCAAGCGGTAACCCGTACCAAAAAAACTGGCTGGAGGCGGGGGCTGCGCCGGCTCTTCGGGCACGGGCTAGATGTGCGTTTCAGCATTGACCATCGTTATGAGACATCGAGCATGAGCATGAAGGTGGAAGATCGGCGTGAACAAGCAGCGGTACTTACTTGAGCAGTCGCAGCATGGGTAGCAGCATCGCTGGCAGCAGGCCGCACTCGCTCAGGCTCCTTATAGCCAATTGGGGCTGCAAACTCGAGTTGCATATCACACTCAACGATAGAGACGGCCTGATCGCTGTTTTCGGGTTTAACCTCAAGCACCTCAATCTCGTAGACCTGCGATGAAGCAATGCAGCCAGATGAGAGGACCTGCTTGGCTCGAGGAAGAAACACGGGGCCCCATGCTGGCAAGCAGACCGACTTTGTTATTATAGTTGATAGCGATGATGTCATTGACGGTCAAACAGGAGAACTTTCGCAGTGTGTTCTCCAGTCTGGAGGGCCCACCCAGTCAACGCGCCATAGCAATGTGAGCTGGCGGACACTCGCGCCCACACAAGGACGGTGTGCGCAAGAACATGACGTACACAGCCTTGGGATTGGAAATGTCGAGAAAGTCGGGGGACTGTGGCTGAAACTTGGCGTAAGTGCAAGTGACCATGCTCAAGTTTTGCACGGTGATGATCTCATCCTCCTGCAACAGGAGGTTCCGCATCATCTGTAGCCCCCACGCCGTGACCAGTGAGCCTAGAGTTGAATGCCTTACCCCTTCCCTCGTCTTATCGAAAGTACGGTCAGCGCGCGCCCGAACGCCTTACCCAACCCGGCATGTAGACGTGGCCCGGAGTCGCGGTAAATTCGAGCACGCCAGCATGGGTTTCCTTGCCAATGCTATCGTTACGCAGCTTGAACATCATGGGATATTGAACGTTGCGCGACGCTAGATCCTCGAGGGCATCCGGAGGGAGAAAGACTGGAGGTAGTGATGCAGTTGGTGTGAGGTGTGAGATGCCCGAGAGCAGCATGTACAAGGACCGGTTCTGCATCGAGCTCTGACCACATACTTTTGCCACCCGTATCAGCATCCTCACGCGCAGCGCCCTGCAGCATCATGATACTGTGGCAGCGAAACTTGCGCTGCCATGCCATGTTAGGCATGGACATGGATTGAAGCCAAGACATGTTGACGCGTTTCAAGCTGCCGCGACGAGCCGTCTATAAAATTAAAAGGCTGGCGGCCGAAAACGGCGGATGAGACAAGGCGCTAACCCCATCCAACAACCACGTTCACACTGTCACCCCATCCGTCAGCAGCAAGCACGGCCACAACCACAGGCAGCAAGCACAAGAATGCTGACCCCTGCCACTAGCAAGTAGCGCGCGCTGCCCTCACCGCCGCCGCCGCGTCCAATGCAGGAGGCCTTCACTGCCGATTTGGCTGCTCCACGTCACAGTAAGAAAATGATGACATTCCATCGTTCGCGGCTCTCTCTTTTTCTTGCTGCTTATGCCTTTCTTCTCTCTCTCTCTCTTTTTCACTCTCTTTCTGTTGTCAAGTCGTTTTGTCAGACAATGTTCCTTCGACTCGAAAATTTTGATTTTTTTTTGTTGAGTGGCAGAACAGCCAGGCGACGATCAACGCGGCTGGCGCTTGACGCGGCTCTGGCGCTTGACGCGGCTCTGGCTGCATCACCTGTGGCCATATTGGAACCGACAGGATGGTGAGAGCACGCTTTGTTATGGGATTATTCCATCTGTCGCTGCCGGATGGGGCTAATCTATGCATGTTGGGTTTTTTCTTCTTTCTTTCTCGCTCTCTCTTCCTCCCGCAGGGCAAGTCTGGCGGAGGGGACAACGTCATGGTGTGCGTGCGAGTGCGCCCCATGAATAAGAAGGAACAGGCCAAAGGCTTTGCCAATATCACCACCATTGATCAGGCTCGGTACGTCGGATCAAGTGCTCAACCTGGCTGACTTGTGGCTTCGCCTTGAAGCATAAGCCCGCTTCGTCTAATTGGTCATGGCTGTGTCTATGTTTGTCGCCTCAGCGGCACAGTGACCATTGCACCACCAAAGCAAGATGCTCCTCCCAAGACCTACACTTTCGATTGCTCCTTCCCCTCGGACGTGCGACAGGTCAGCCTGGAACCTTGGCCTTGCCTTTTCTGACCCAGCCAAGACTGCACCTCACACAAGCACCCTGCGCGTCCTTGGCCTTGTATGTGGTCGTAGCTCGACGTGTACAACAAGGTAGCCCGACCCATCGTTGACTCGGTGCTCGAAGGTTACAATGGCACGGTTTTTGCGTACGGTCAGACCGGTACCGGCAAGACATTCAGTATGGAAGGTGCGAAGAATGAGCCCAGTCTGTTGCATCTTGGCGACCTCTCCTCGCTTTGGTTGCGATTGCCCGTTGTGATTTGTGTCACATTAGCCGGCTCTTGCACCAAGGGTACTGTAAAAAAAAAACAGACTTAATGCGCACTGCATGCTCGTCGACTGACAGGTGATCGCTCCGTGCCAGAGCTCAAGGGCATCATTCCCAACAGCTTTGCGCATATCTTTGGTGAAATCTCCAAGGCTGAGGGCCAAACGCAGTTTCTGGTGCGGTGTTCCTACCTTGAAATCTATTGCGAAGACGTCACAGACCTCTTGGGCAAGGACCCTACGGCCAAGCTTCAGGTCAAGGAGCACCCTGACACTGGCGTCTACGTCAAGGGTCTGTCTGATTACTCGGTCAAGAGCGTGGAGGAGATGGAAGCCATCATGACGCGTGGCAACAAAAACCGTGCGTTTTGCCATCCGCGAGCATATTATATTGTCTTTCTGGCTTTTTGTTTCTACAAAAAGAGGTTGCTGGCTTGGCTGCACGCCTCTTCTATTCTCAAGAGGCTTATTATTGTATACAGCTCAGCTCATGAAACGTTGTTTACTTTCGATGCCTTGTTGAGTCAGGCTCGGTCGGCGCTACTAATATGAATGAGCACTCGTCGCGCTCTCACGCCATCTTCACCATCACTGTCGAGCGCTCTGAACCCGTAAGTGCTTGGTTTTTGTCTTGTTTTTATCAGAAGCGCAAAGCACGGTGCGGCCTCATCCGTTGGATACAGGGCCAGGATGGTGAGGAGCACGTCCGAATGGGCAAGTTGCACTTGGTGGATCTCGCGGTACGTCGAGCCTGAAGTGTCTGTCCTCCCCGGTTCTTCCAAACATAGACACCTCCCCATCACCCTTATCTTAGGCTTTGACAATTGCTTATCATTGATGACATATCTCCCCCAGGGCTCCGAGCGCCAATCCAAGACTGGTGCGGAGGGAGATCGTCTCAAAGAGGCAACCAAAATTAACTGGTCCCTTTCAGCGCTGGGCAATGTCATTTCAACACTGGTATGACAGCGCGAAGTGACCAGATGACCAGAGCATTCTCCACCGTGCAGCTCTGTTGTTTGTCTGTGTTCGGTTTCGTTGCTGACATCTTTACCCTGTGTCCGTCTGGCTGGCTGGCTGGCTGGCTGGCTGGCTGGCGGCCCGTCCGACTGTCTGTGCTGGAACTTTAATGTGCCCATAGGTGGATGGCAAGAGCAAACATATTCCTTATCGTGACTCGAAACTGACTCGTTTGCTTCAAGATTCCTTGGGTGGCAATGCCAAGACGCTCATGGTGGGTATCTCCACCACGCTTTGCCCACCACCTCCAACGCTCCATGTTTGGTGATCACGAACTTCATGGATGTGCGCGTAGATTGCCACGTTTGGCCCTGCGGATTACAACTACGAGGAGACCATCTCCACCTTGCGCTATGCAGACCGTGCCAAGCGCATCAAGAACAAGCCGAAGATCAACGGTACGTCGTGCCCCAGACTTGGCCATCGTCGACGCCATTCGATGCCTTGCCCTTTGCCAGTGCGCTAGTCTGGCTCATGTGACTGGTCACATGTTGCCTGTGACAACCGGACAGAGGACCCGAAGGATGCGCTGCTGCGCCAGTATCTCGAGGAGCTACAGGAGCTCCGTGCTCAGCTGGAAGGTGAAGGCGGGTACGTTGGCTCTGGTAACACAGGCTACTCCCGGTCGAGCCGTCTCAGAAACCTTGTTTACCCCTCTTTGCATCTGGTTTTAGCGGTGACGATGGAGACGATGATGAAGACGAAGAGGAGGATGATGAGGAGGGCTCGGGTGCTGTTGGTTGGGACGGTCAAAAACTGCGCAAGCCTCGCCGAAAAAGCCGTGGCAAGGTACAAAAAAATAGGAGCGACTTTTTGAAATCCCACACTTAGTGTGCCTGGGGATGCCTTGTAATTAGCTCACCTTACCCCTGGCTGTTTTGCTCTTGCCCACCCAATGATAGAAACGGCCCATCTCGCCCTCAAAGGTCAAGCAGATTCAGGCAGAGATTGATCGTGAGCGAGAAGCCCTCAAGGTGTGTCCGAAGGAGGACAGGCCGCTCTGGACAGAAATGAAACAAAAGAGCATGGATCAGGGCAAAGCCAGGAAACAGACAACAGGCTATGGCGGTGCTCTCACCAGCCTCCTTCTTTGTTCGCCGGTCAACCTGCTAGCTGCAATCAAACATGGCCGCGGAGGAGAAAACCAAAGCCGAGCAGGCTCTGAGGTCTCGAGAGCAAGATCTTGAGCGACAACGTGCTGAGCGTACCAAACTGCAGCAACAGGTGGCCGCGGTGGAATCCAAACTGGTTGTGGGTGGCGTCAATCTGCTCGACAAAGCCAGCAAGCAACAAGAATTGCTTGAACGCGCTCAGACAGAGTTGCAAGCACGCGAGGCCGAGCAGATGGTTATTGCCCAAGCTCTGGACGACGTGGAGCAAGAGCAACTGGATCTCGAACAAAAGTACAGCAGCCTTGAGGAGGAGAAGGAGGGCAAGTCAAAGTACGTGGGCTGGTCCTTGCGTGTCTTTTTCAATCTGAGGCTGCATCCATTGCTTGCCGTTGATTCTCCTTTTCTTTTTCATGCGCTGCCCCTTTTTCGCTTGTATGTGATGTTTGTGCCTGCCCACGAATGCAGAAAGCTCAAGAAAGTCTACGACATGTACCTTTCGGCCAAGGCAGAGATGAAGGAGTTGGAAGATGATTTCAATCAGCAGCTGGAAGGGCTGAACGACATCTGTGCTGGCATCGAGCTTGACGTAGAGCTGTGCGACATGATTCTGAGTCGCTGGGTTCCTCCCGAGTACCAGAACGTGATCGAGCGCCTCGCGGTATGGAACGAGGCCATTGGTGATTGGCAGGTGCGTCAGATGTGTGGCATTATTCGGCCCAACCCTCGAGGTGGTCTCAATGCATTATCGGATGCTTGTGACGGGGCCGTGGGTTGGCGCGTCCTGCTAGATTCCGGCACTGCCACACACGGGCAACAACATTCTCAAGACGAATCCACAGCCGGTTGAGCGAGCGCCGACACCGGTGCGTGCTCGCTGCTTCGACACTTGGTCCCACTCGCACGCACGTGAATTTTGGCTGGCCTTGTCGTTGGGGTCCGACGCGCTGACCATCCTTGTGTGTCTCTGCTTCAGCCCATGGAAGTGCACGTTCAGCCACAGCTCATGCAGTATGCTTCAACTGTCACAAGTGACGCCTCGACGCGGTGAGAGTTTTCCTGCTTGAATGATATCAATTGTTCTGTATTCTTTCTTGACATTTCCTCGTCGTGGTTTTTTTGTTTTTTTCCCTTTCCATATGGGTCTGGAGGCTTTGCTGCACTCATTGTGTTGTTGAATCTTTTGCTGCTGCACTCATTGTATTGTTGGATCTTTTGCTATGTGACTGTGTGTAGGCGGCCAAAGACTGGGCGGCCCGGAACAGCGCGACGATAAGCCAAGTAACCAGCCATCTCCTGTCTCGAGCACGGGCAGGCTGCATTTTTTGTTGCCATGTTACAAGAAACGGTGCACGCCAAGTGCCTGCGTTTTGGTCGCAGATAAAACTTTAAATACAGTGAAAATGAATTGATTGATCGCATGTTTTTGGGAAGATTGGTGCCTGGAGGAAGAGCACGGTTTCCAACATTCAAAGGGTTGCGGTGAACGAGGAAGAGGCGCGTTTAGCATTGGAAGCAGGTGCAGGACAGGTTTTTGGGAAGAATCAGCGCCTTGAGCTGTGTTACCACATCAGCGTGAGTCTGGCTCACGTCGTTCGTTTCAAAGGGGTCTGACGGTAGGTGATAAAGCTCCATGCTATCCTCTTCGCTGGGTTGCAAATTTTTGTTGCAGGTCTGAACCACGCCCTTCCTATTTTGGCAAACGGGGCACGAACAGGAGTTGAGAGTTCAAGGACGAAGCGGGATGTCCACACGAGAACACGGTACACGCGCAAGCAACGTTTGCGCACCATTCACCACTGCGCACACCGTAGCCAGACTTGGCACCGCTCCCCCAGGTAAAGAAGAGATAATCCTTGGGGGCCTGCTCCTGGCCAAGGAGCTCGGGCAAGATGCTGATGCCATCAATGTCGCTGGGCCAGGACCCATTGACAAGGTCACCAACCGTGGGCATAAAGTCCCAGAAGGCCCACGAGTAGTTGGACACGCGGCCAGCTGGCACGCGACCAGGCCAGCGCGCCATGGCTGGGGTGCGTACGCCGCCTTCGTACAAACTGCGCTTAAAGCCCCGAAGGCCGCCTGTGGAGTTGAAAAAGGTGTGATCATGACCCCCTTCGTTGTGGGCGCCGTTGTCACTGGCAAAGAAGACGAGTGTGCGGTTGTCAATGCCGAGGCCTTGCAGTTTACTCAGAATGTCACCGACCCGGGCATCAAGGTAGGTAACCACAGCAGCATGATCCACCTCAACGGTCGGCCAGTCCCCCGTCCTATTGGCGTATTGTCCATCGGACGGGACAGGGGCACCTAGCAGCAAGGGTGGGGTTCCGTTGGGGGTTGAGGAGGGGAGGACCTTGGAGGCTGGCGCGGGTACAAGCAGTTACATACCGTTTTCAGGTGCTTGTGGAGCGCTGCCCCACCCACCAGCATGAGGAATGGTGTAGGAAACGTAGAGGAAGAAAGGTTTGTCCGGTGCGGCCCCATAAGTGTCGAGCCAGGACAGGGCAGAGTCTTGAAAGAAGTCGATCGAGTAGTTGAAGGCGCTCGGGTTGGCCATGCATGCTTCGCGCGACTTTGCGGTGACGTTGTTCTCAGCCACAAAAGCTTGTGAGATGTTGGGGCCAGTGCTGCCCCCGGTCTCGGGAAGATAATCGTAGTAGATCGGGTACATGTTGTGACAGAACTATTGAACAATGGCAACAGGTTGTGCATGCGTGAGGCGAGTGGCGGCAGCTCCCAGACCAAGGTACCATTGAGGGGAACGGACGACAATTCAGTGAGACGTGACTAGGTGGGCTGCGAGGCGTACGAGCTGGGAGAGTTGACCCTTAAAGTGATCAAAGCCAAGCGGAGCAATGGAGTCTGGTGTTTGAAAGGGAGCTGTTTTGCCAAAGGCGGCTGTTCGGTAGCCCGCTTCCCGTAGCATCTGGGCTGCGGTGCGAACATGGGCCTGGTTATGGTAGAGATTCTGACCATCAAAGCCATACTTGATAAACTGGCCCGAATGGCGCCCTGCGAGTGAGGACCAAAGTCAGCGCAGGCGTAGCGTGGGGGAGGGCGCAAGGAGAACAGCCTATGTAGCCGAATAGTACCGACCAGTGAATAGGCTGTGGGTTGAAGTGTTCATGTCCACACGGGAACAAGAGAGCGAGGGTGATCAGGGGCCAAGGAAGAGTGCAAGGCATGATGAGCGAGGACAGGGTGAAGAGATGGCCTTTTGCGATGCATGCGCGTGATCATGGATTGTACAAGCCCATCAACGTACGTGGTGCGGCTTGGCGCACACACGGTGTAGCCCGCATAGGCTTGGGTGAAGATGGTGCCTTCTTGCCCAAATTTGTTGAGGTTGGGGGTGGCGAGGCGGCCGTGCTTCGAGTCACCCGGAAAGAGCTCGACCTCGCCCCAGCCGAGATCGTCAGCCATGATCCACACACTGCGGACACGAGATCATCGAAAACCAGACAGCAACGGCGGACAGCAGAACATCACGGTATGAGTCAAAGGGCGCGCCACATGCAGTCAGCGAAGCCCAGAGAACACAGGCTTCTAGCGCAAGAGTGCGCGGGCGTCTCGTGCTCCAGACTGACTGACATGTTGGGCGGTTGTTCGATGGCATGAGGCGTGGCCATGACCAGCGCCCAGGTCATCCACGTTAACCATCCGACCACGGTCATGCAAATTCGATGCATCTTGTCCCGATTTGATCTTGATCGGCTTGGTCGGCTTGATTAACCTTATCCGACCGCTTCTCCTCCTTCTTGTTGGTGTTGTTGTGTTTCCGCCGTCGTAGTCGCAGCGCGATCTCAAAAACGCGAACTAACATGACGTTAAGCTTATGATGAGGTTACTGGCAGCATCCTTCGCGCATCCTGAGTTGGACCTGAGGCATCGACTTAGTTCGCGGACCTTACTTCTTTTTTGATTGAAAACGCAGGTCATCATGTCATCCTTGTGAATTTCCGAGTACCCGCTGTCACCCGGCAAGCACATCTAGAATGGGGTTGAAAAACGGCAGGGCCCATCATGGCACACGTGTACCTGCTAGCATCACCCGCACGACAGCCACAGCTGGCATCAACAGGATAACAGCAGCAAAACGTTCAGGCTGCTTTAGGGCCAACTTCACATGTCAAAATAAATTACTGAAAAATGATCAAAAAACCATTGAAAATTACGCCAAAATAGGCACCGGCAGTGCCACCATCTTGATCTACTGAAACGTGAAAGGGAGTGCGGATAGGGTTGTTCAAATGGCTGAGCTGTCTATCGGTGACCATGGGCCAGCCTCGACTTATCAGCACCCTAACCCTAACCCTAACCAAGCCCCCGCCCCATCCTCCGAAGCATGAACCTGCTGGACGATTGCTGCCTCTTGGCAAAAAAAACCGCTCAACTTCATCCTCTCTGCGGTTTTTTTTTTGGCAGTTGAGGTTTGCGCGCGTGCCAGCACGTTAAGCATACACAGCAGCATTAACTGCTTTTATGTATACACAAACTGTAGTTACATTAAGCTTACCTTGCCTTTAGATACGTACACTCTCAACAGAAACGTATAGCTGAACTCGTGGCGGTTCCCCAAGCAGTCCTTTTGCGTCGCTGCTGTTCTTTGATCGTGGTTGTCTTCATCATCTTTGATTTTTGATTTTTTTAATTTGGAGAAGAAGCATTTGTTTGTGTTTGATCTGTCTGCCCGTGCCCGTGCCACCAAAAACATGGGCGGGATAGTGCCCGTGCAAGCGCTCCTACTGGGGGTATTGGCGTTGTGTCTCGTCAGACAGTTGCCATGCGCGGCGGCGGATATGCCTTGCGTCCTCGATGAACGGGGCACGGGAAGCTATCGGTTCCCAGAGCTGCCCCAGCTCAAGGGTTGGGTGGCTTCCCAAGAAACACAGATTGTGGCCATTGATGACCATCGAGCCGGCTTGGCCGTGGTTCAGCGTCAACTTTTGCTCGATTGATTGGGTAGACCTGTCCAAAGGGCCGGGCCACCGTCACATAATACGTGTGTGACAGAGCGCTCACTGGAGTGCAGCCCCGCGGCGCCGAGGGCTGGCTTGACCCGTGGTGCGTGACAGTCCAGCGCCACGAAACGCAGGCTGCCTGTCGCGCCGAATGGAGCAAAATGCCATGCGCCACGAACCAAGTCCCCGTTCCTACCCCTGAACAAGCCGCATATCAGCGTCATGAGATTATGGGCGTAAGTTTGACGCCGAAACTATTGCATTGACCTTGATCTTTTCATGAGGAATATCGCTGCAGATCCTGCCTTCTGTGTGTTCGCCGCTTGCTTTTGAACGACTCTTTTTCTCCACTTACCCAAGACCTGCCCCGCTCTGGCTTACGTCTTGACTTGGCGGCGTTGCTTGATCGCATGGTAGTTGACACACTTTAACATGGCTACTTTTGTGGAGGACGGCGATCCAGCTTGCAACCCCACCAACTGGAATGTGGGTGTCCATAGCTCACACGCCTCCCTTTTTGACCCCACACGGCTAAACATCTCCAATTGGGTTGAAAACTACCGGGCTGTGGGTGCCAAGCATGCCGTCCTCACCGCCAAACACGGCTGCGGCTTTTTACTCTGGAATACCTCGACCACCTTGCCAAATGGAACGGAGCATCCCTTTGCAGTGGCACGCAGTTCCTACCAGCCCCATCAAGTTCGTACCAAGCAAACCCGCTGCTCGATGCGCTTTTTTGCTTCACTCTTCTTGACTTCACCTGCGTGTGGGTTTTGTGCTGGTCTTTCAATTGTGGGTGAAATGTGCCGCTACACTGCGTACTTTCCTTACCTGTGTGCCTGCAGGTGGGTGGGCACGGAAAGCGGCTTGGCTGGTTATCCCACTTGGGCGACGGGCTGCTCTGTTGCCCAAGGCGATCCAACTGCCAGCGACTACTGTCCCGTTGGGGGTGACACCTACGTACGTCCAGCGATTGAACAGGGCATCCTGACGTCTTTTCATCTCACTCTCGTGCTGCATCGCAATGAACACTCCTAAACTTTGAACCCTGCAGGTGCAAAATGGCCATTGGTTTTGGCGGCCTGGATTTGCTCTTCGCTCCGTGCAGCAGATGGTGGAGGTGTGTTGGAGCGACGAGTCCTTGACCGCGGTCATCTGATCGCACTGACAAGTCATCTCACCACTCCGCGGCAGGTGTATCACATGACGGTTGGCAACAATCAGGTGCTTGAGCTGGACTTTGCGATCAACGACACGGGCAATGTACCAAGTGATGCCTCGGCGGTGTACCACGCACTTGGTGCATGGGCTCGAGCGTGCTACGGCATGCCAGTAGCCAATATGAGTGGCAACAGTAGCTCAGTCTTGCTGACCTTGCCATCGCCAGCCACTCCTGTTGATCGATTTATCTTGCAGGAAGACATTGACTTTGACGAGCGTGTGCGACAATGGCACATCGATGTGCAGGTGGAAACCGGTGACTGGATGCCCTTTGCCAATGGCACGGCCATCGGCCACAAACGCATTGTCCTGGGCTCGGGGCCAAGCAGTTCGCTTACTGCAGCCCGCCTAACCGTTGACTCGGCCGTAGCTTCGCCCGTCATTCTCGCCTTTGCGGCTTTCAAGCCCTGTCCCGATCCCTAGTTGTGCCACCCAATCGATGGTGCACCTGGCGTCGTATTGTATCGGAATTGATTGCTTATCAATTGTCTCAATCCTGTATTTGATGCTATCGAGCGTGATCGCGGCCTGACTGCGGTGCCAATCGGCTTAGCTGAAGCTGGACGACTCTCTATTATCTCTTGACATCTGGGTCCGAGCAGCGGGGCGCGCGTGATTGCGGCGACGCTCCGAGCTCCACTTTTTTCCTTGGGTCGGGTGGCCATGCCGCCCAAGCGCAGTGCCAAGGACACAGTACACGAGTGTGTGAAGACAAGAAGCAAAAAAACAACACCTCTTCGTCTAATTATAGCGTATGTCAAAATGGACCGTTGAACATAAATAAAAGTCAGTCATTTCCATTTTCCATTTTTTTTCTTCTTTTTTTTTGAACTTGGTTGCTGTTTTTTTTTTTTTTGGCACCGTGCATCATGGCTGAATTTTCAGCATTGATGGAGCAAATGAAGCAAATGCAGCTCCAAAGCACAAGCGAGGAAGAACATCGCCACATCCAAGCTCAGATCCAAGCTCTCATTGAGCTTGAGCAGCAGAGGCTGGCTGCGGAAGCCGAGGAGCGCAAGCTTGAGCAGCAGAGGCTGGACGCTGAAGCCGAGGAGCGCAAGCTTGAGCAGCAGAGGCTGGCCGAGGAGCGCAAGCTTGAGCAGCAGAGGCTGGACGCTGAAGCCGAGGAGCGCAAGCTCGAGGAGCGCAAGCTAGCAGCCGCAGCCGAGGAAAAAGCAGCAGCACAGCTCAAGCTCAAACGGAAAACAAGTCGCGACAAGGTTCGTCGTGTTTCGTCTCGATTCGTTACAACAGACAAGGCCTGCTGCCTCTGATGCTCACGTGGTCCGGTTGACAGATTAGAGTCTTGAAGGGCATGTTCACCCTTGCGCTGCAATACGAAAAGGCTTTATGGAACAAGTTGGTGGCAATGCCTGATGATGATTTTGAAACATTTGTCGACGAAGTCAACAACATGCCCTCTGCCGAGAGGATGAACGAATTGTACCCCCTGGAAGGTGTGTTCGTCGTTGCCTGGCCCCACATTACGCCTGCACTTGGTCATTACTGTACCCCCGCGCGCCTACTACAATCGTTAAGCACCTGTCGGGCAAGTCTCACGCGCAGGATCGTCTTTTGGTTTACATGCGTGTGCAGGCTTCACATGGACACTGCTACCACCGTCCGAGTCACGTGGCCAGATGCCTTCAAAGGCGCCCTCACAAACCTTGTCTCTGACCGCTGCAAACGAACTCCTTGGCACCGTGGTCGCAGAGCTTCCCTGCAGCCACCACTACCTTGCAGCGAAAATTGCCAAGCGCATTGATGAGCTTTGCGCGGATGGCCAGTGGAAGAGCAGCGAGGCGCTAATGGAAGGTCTTCGGTGGGCGGTCAAAGCTCAACGCGACTCCCAGATGACTGAACTCCAGCAGGAGCCCAGCATTTCTTCGCGAGTTTCCATTGTGTTGCAGCGCTACTTTGGCCTGAATGTTGTCCATCAGTACGCCATCGGTTCCTACGGCACCCACGTTGATTGGGCGGGCTTTGACGACAACCATCACGTTGTCGTCATGGGCGAGTGCAAAAAGCAGGAGCAGCCGTTCCAAGAATATGGGGGCCAGGTTGCCAACGAGCTCTTGCGACTGGGGGCCATTCCAACGTTGTATGAGAGCAACAGCGACATATCGCTGACTCGGCGGAAGGACATTTTGTGGCCCATCATCAACATCAACGTGGTGGGAGACAATGTCAGCGCCTACCTGGCTTTGCAAGTGATTGATGTTCGATGGGAGCAGTTTGAGGGTTGCCTGGCAGAGATTCTGCCATTGCTCGAGATTGACAGTTCGAACGCGAAGCCGAGGACATCGGGGCTGTTCTTTTTGCGCCTCGGTGCCGCAAATTTTAAAGAAGATTCGCGGCAGGTAGAAAGCATCTTGCGAGCTTGCAAGGAATTTGTGCAAGGGGATTTGGCGCGCTTGCTGGATAGGGCAGGTGCTCAGACTCTATCGCGGCCACGGCTGCCTCCACAACCATTTCCTTGCCCTTTTGACCACCTCTGCAAGTGGAATCTGAAGGATTCGTATGGTCCCAACGTGCAGGTCTACAGCATCGGGAAGCAAAACAAGGAGCAAGGCAAGGTGTTCAAGCACTTTGACTACTGGGGACGCACGGCAAATCTCTGCAGCAGCCTCTCGGCACAGTGTGTGTCTTACCAAGATCGCCGCTACCCGCCTGACGACCGAATCTTGACAATACTCAGTCAACTGGATGTGGCAGGCTCATTCTATCAGAAGTGGGAGGTGGCGAGGCTTGCAACTGCCGTGGATGTGCTCAGCTACCCTTACGTGAAGCCGGCAGACACCGTCGAGATTGAGCAACTGGTCCAGGTCATCTACCAACTGAAGGCCATCCATAGCGTTGACTTTGTGCACGGCGACATTCTTCCTCGCAACATTCTTTTTTGCAGCGACTGGGAAGGGCATCCTGCGGCCTTTCTCATCGACTTTGATCTCGGCAGGTTTCTTGCTGCTAATCCTGCCCACAACCCCGTCTATGCCTCCAATTTTGCCAGGGAAGGAGAGCCGCTGGAGCCTTTTCGTCATCCATTAGCCCGGCGGAATTTGCCAATGCAGAAGGAGCACGATGGCTTTGCCTTGGCACGTGTCATGGAGAAGTTTTTGCAGGACGACGAGGCTCGTCAGCAGCTGGTGGCTGCGTTGGAAGAGCTGCAGCTGGATGACGCTGCCACGCTGTGTCAGAGGTGCTCGCTTTTGCCGCCAGACAATGTTGCTGGGCTTGGCAAGGCCACGGGCAGTCCTCGACGTTAATGTGCCAACCTGGCCCTCCCCTTCTCCAAGTATTCCTGACCCTTGTGCTTATTTTTCCGGCCCATTTTGCGCCAAAGCGACGGCTGTCATCAGTTCATTGTAGTGTCATGCTTAAAACCCCGTTGTCTTGGGAGGAGAAACACGACATTGATTTTCTTCTGTTCTGTTCTAATTCTTTACCTTTCGGTGCGATAACAGAGAGAGAGGGCTTGCTTTGACAAATGGCAGCCAGACTGGTTTGGATTAGGCATTGGGCGCGGTTGTTGTACTGGGAAGCGAGAGCATACTGTACCGTTGATGCCCTGTTCACTCGGTCTGATGCTCTTGTCTAACTGACCCTCTTTTTGGGGGTTTTCAAGCATTCCATCATCCGGGAGTAATCAGAAACCCATCCCAATCCCCATCGGTAAGCGGGCACTTGATCTCGAGCCGATCTCAGCACCGTTTCTTGTCCTGCCTTCGTGCCTATCACCGTTAAAGTCTGACAGTGCTTTCGTCGGTGCGTACTTATGAAGGGCTTTGGAACCTTGTTGTTGAATTAATTTGAGAAAAAAAAAAGAATATTACGCGGCCACACCTCGATCGGAATCCCAAACAGGCGTCACAACAAACCAGGCGGGGTGTAGAGATGGCCGACAGCCGCTGGTCTGGCATGTGATGGTTTCGTTACAGTCGTGATTGAGAACCGACACACGGCAAACATCATTTATGTTCATGGCGTGCACGACCAGTCGCTCTTGTTCCTGGAGAGCGACGGAGTCAAGCCCAGAGAAGCGGCGCACAAGCGTCCTCACTTGATCAACGGGAACAACATTGATCACGGGAATAAACAATACGTGACGCTGACCAGAAGCCCGGTCTTGCACGCCTGCAACAAAAAGCCCTGACACAGCCAGGGTCATGGTCACAAAGCCGCCTGCTGCCTGCCTGCGTCCGCCCCCCACCCCCCTTTCCACGCCCCGTGGCTCACTTCACCTGCCATCCAACCGAAAGCAACATTGGCAATAACAGACCAACTAACCTTGGCTGCCATCCGCGAAGGATAACAGGTAGGTCGGGCGTAGACCATCCAACGCAAGAACAAGCTGATGGCGAGCAGCATCGGCGTCCAAGTCTGTCGACGCTGAACCAACGGCGCTGGGATCCGGGCGAAGCAAAGATTCGCCCGGCTGCACGCCCCTTACAGAAATGCGTGTTCCCCAGCTCAGACGCGTGTAGAGATTATAGCTTCCACGAGAAAGCTGCTGGCTCAAGTCTGGAACGTTCAGTTTTGAAGAGAGCTCATCGACGGACAAACAGGAGATTCGGCGTCCCTGCGTTCTACCAAAGTAACATACCGTCGTAAGATACGGCGCAGCGCGGGCAAGTGCGATCAAGTACCTTGTCCATGCAAAACTCAGGCGAAGCTTCGGATCCGAGGCTGGCTGCGGCTTGACAATGCACACATCCTTTCCTTGGACGGGAGCGTTGGGAGCGTCGGTGGAGTTGGAGGAGTTGGAGGAGCTGGAGGAGCTGGAGGAGCTGGAGGAGCTGGATGAGCTGGAGGAGCCAGAGGAGGAGGTATTACTCGCCTGTGATGCATCGGGACGCAGCCCCTGTGTGACGTCAGGAATGCTCGAGTGATTTGGATCGTTATGAAGCAAGCTGCCGCACGGCGCAACGTCTGGCTGATGGGTTGGTGAGCGCCAATTAGTAGTCGGGAACCAATCCGGCAAATCATAGTCGTCGATATCCAAAGACCGATGATGCCTTTTGCGGGGAGGTTTCGAGCGCGCCAAATCGTCTCCCGGCGCCATTTTTTTTTTGCCGTTACCTTGTGTCAGATCGCACAGAAGAAAAAAAAAAGGCAGAAAAATCGGTTTTTGTCCATTTTGTGCTGCTGAATCGACCGTTGGAAACAGCGAGACAGGGGAGCACGAAGTATTTTCATCTCCCACTGGCCAGTGGCGTCACCTCGGCCAGCATGGCGGTCCCACCCGACTTAGCGTACGCCCACTTCGTTGCCGAGCTGTCGATCATGAAGCCTCGCATCAATGACTGTTTGTGGGTATCTTTAGGCAACCCGATGCCCTCAACATGATCGGTGCCTTCTATTGCTTGCTTCTTCAAGAGCGCGAGGCGCGGCAGGTGGAGGCTGAAAGGACTACATTACTCGTCAAAACCGTCAAGATGATGCAGCGCGAGATCATATCGCTCCAAGCACGTCAAGAGAAGGATATTGCTAAGAGCACGCACGCCGAATGCAAAAATGAACTTTCTGCCAAGCGTCACAAGAGCTTAGAGGATGGAACTGAGAAGCGTGCTAAAAGGCGGCCCAAGTTCATCGACATGCTTGGTCCAGAGCACGGAGCTGCTCTGCAATCCTTCACGGGAGCGCTTTTACTACTAGCTCGCCTACGTAACCCACCAGCTAACTGGGCTGATGCCATGGCTTTCCACTACTTGCGAGGCTTATTGGAATGGAGCTGTATCAAACTTGCGTGAACAATGTCGAGCTGAACGCCTATATCACATCGCGAACGACCAAAGAGGGCCCAAAATATATGCGCGAGTGCTTGTGCCGGGATATCTGTGACTCCACGCGCACCAGTTTCTCTTGGGTGTCTCCCGTTCCCGGTGGCGCCGCGTGCCAAGTGAAGCTTTTTGGTTTCTACGAATGTGCACGTCGGATGAGGTTGATTTTGAAGCAGAACGACATTACGCTGGGTTGCTTCAGAGTAACTTTTAACCTGTTTTGCCTGTGCATTTCGACCTATGCTTTGCTCAGGCAGTGCTGCATCTCTCGTTTACAACGTGACGATTATTTCGTGCCGCCTCTGCGCGGGCCTCAATCATCTCGGGAGTGTGATTTGCAATGCACTTGCCGCACTCTTAGAGTTAGTGCTCTAGACACAGCTCGTGCAAGACTCCGACACAAGCTGACGAAGTATGTTCCTGTGCATTGATCCTTCGGCAATTATCCTATGCTTGTCTTGGCTTACTCGAGCCTTTCGCTTTCTCATTCAATGGGTTTTTTGTTCCCCCTTTCTGCCCGTCCCTTCCCTGCTGCCTTCGCTCATTCCTGCGTGCCCACTCACTCCGGACTTGCTTTCATTCTTCTTTTCTCAACATTGAAACCGTCTCACAATGATAATGTTATTAGATCTATGAGCCATTTCTTGGAATGTGCCAAGACGCAAGAGAGACCTGTCTTCGCTCAAGACCTCCTGAACTACTTGCAGCAGCAGGTCGGTCTTCCGGCAGACGACAAGATAGTTCAGTCACTGCAACAGCACAACGACGTCATCACAGCCATGGGAGCTTTTAACGTGTGACTAAATAATGATCAGCGCTCCTGCCCGCCAAAATTCAGAAGTGAAACATTTGAAGTACAATAATGTGAGGTGCAGTCAAAGTTCCTTGTAACTTGTTTTTGTCAGACTCGAGAAACAGCGGTTTCTTTCCCGAACAAGCCAAAAACACCTACAAGAAAAAAATTTTACTAAAGAAGTAAAATACTATCAAGGTTTCATAAGTGTGCTGTAGCCAAGTTTCCTCTCGTTTTGTCAAATATGGCCGCGAAGCGTCTTGAGCTTGAAGCGGGCGGGTGAGAGAGGGTTTTAAAACTTTTACTGACAACGACTTGTTCTGTAACGGTTCTGTAACGGTCAGTTTGCAGTCGACACCATGGCAGCAAGACCGGAAGGTACCGATGCCGCTTCGTCGGCTCAGTCATCGTCGCGATCGCTTCAGCCGTCTGCCTCCACCTACCAGGGTGAGCTCTTCCCCTGCGACCCTGAATGGAATAAAATGGTGGCCAGCTTGCGAGCAAATCCAAACCCGCCACCATATTATGCCCGGCGGCGCCGGTCAACCACTGCGCGCACTGGGCCGAAGCGGGCTGTGGACCGGTCGGATCGAGCCTCAAGGGCACCAAAGAAATGCAAAACAGGGCCAAGATTGGATCTTGATGCCCTGTGGAGCTGTGAGGACTCACAGACCGAACACGGATCTTCTACCGGTCTGACCAGCGCTCCTTCATCGCCAGCCCATGAACTCCCAGCGGAAGGACAGCTGCAAACCGAACACGGAGACTGTGAAGCACCACTATCACAATCTTAACGATGCCAACTTTGAACTTTTCGCTGCCGGTGAATGGCCGGCAAATCATGCTGCTACCATCATCAACGACGATATTGTACTCCCCTGCTACATCGATATATCTCAATTGTGTGATGGCCAGGCTTCAACATTTGGCGCTTCCATGGAGCGTCTGAGTATGGTTCGTTCTTTAGGACGACGTCTTGGTTGGGTGGAAGACCATGGAGTTGCTTTTTGGTCGCTTCACCACTTTGAGCTACAATGATTGGAACCGCTTCATCATTCACTTGGGTACCTCGCAAGTCCTCCCAGAGGCTAACATTTTTCTTCTTCCAGAGCAAATCGTGAAAGTTGGTCGAGATATTTGATCCGGAGGTTGGCAAACATATCAAGGTATGACGTGCCACGAAGCATTCAACTCGATGGTGTGCTTTCCCGGTGTTTGTCGCCATTTGCTGTGCCAGAAAATCCATGCCATCTTATATGTGTATGCGTGCATGTGCGTGTGTGTGCGTGCGTCGACAACATGCGTATTCTCGCGTAGCTTAATATTGTCATTACACGACGACTGGTCGATACTCCCCGGCGGTCCGACTGTGCAAACCATGCGCGCAGCTCAAATTTTCCGTGCTGCTAAGAAAGGAACAAAGACCTCGCCGACTCTATCATTCACATGAAGCTGCCCAGCAACAAAAGTAACGAACAAGACTATGATCCAGTGGTCAACCGCGAGTTGACGCCTGAAGAAGAACCATTCTTTTAATTAACAAAAAGTTTGGCTTGGTGATGTGCTATGCCGAATGTCAGAGAAAAAATACACAGAGAGGTGAACAACTGCTGTTGTGACTTTTATTCACTCTCAGAGCTCCACGCTCACTCTCATTCATCACACCTGAATTGACCACAACGGCACAAGATTCGTTTGAGCCGCTCAACCCTTGACCGCGGCCACAGTACCACGACCTAGCACACCGGACAAGAGTAAAACACGCACACGCACACAATTCCTTCAGTGATCACTTCCTCTGCCGCGAAACCCTCGCTTTTTCCATGATGGTCAAATTCATCATGACACTTTGTTCTGTACTTTCGATGATCCTTTTCACGAGAAAGAGGGCTGGCTGAGGCGCGTCCATCGGTTATTTTCAACTGCCTTGAAACGCACATGGGGCATTTCATGCCGGGCCGGTTCGGTTGACACAGAGGACAGTGCTCTGGCGACGATGGTCTTTCGCGCAAAGCTTCATGGTGCCTTCCTGATCATCCTGCACATTCGTGCTGTCTTTTTCAATGCATATGCTGTTGCGTGGGGTTTATTGAGGGGAACGATGCAATCTCCACCTGCTGGCGTGTTCCCCAGAGAAAAGGGGGCTGACGCTAACTTGAGGGGTTTGGCCTTGGGCTCAGGATCTAATTCTTCCATTTTTTGTTGGGGTGCCTATCGTGTGGTGATAAACTCACACGTCATGGGACCCACAAGGCATGACCCAGGCAGACCCATGTTCACCCACAACCAAACCACTCAAAGAATGCAAACCACCCTCATTTTATAAGAGGATAGCCCATTACTCGTTTGTTCCCACCAGTCCTGTGGCACAAAGCTGTGGGTCTTGAAGAACAAAAGAATTGTGGTTCTGAATAACCGTGTAGTCCCAGTCCCGTTGGTTCAAGCCCACGACCAGCCCCACAGCCTCAGCACGAGGCACGCGACAGGCTGTTGACGTGGGGCGAATCAACCCACATGTCCCACGAATGACCCTTCAGCTTTCTTCTGCGGAATCAGTTCAGCCACCTAGTCAACATCTCGGGATGCCCGCGGCATTCCATGGCATCCGCATCTTACACACAAGAGCCAGAACCCACTCGGGGAAATTGAGAACCCTGTGGACGCCCTCGAGCCCATATCATGCTCGGTGATTTTGCAACAGCACATCCCTTCAATTTCTTGTCGTGTCTTTTCAGGGCACGTACGTCCGGATGTACTGCCATACACGAGCCGGATCATTTCAAATTCAGATCCGAAGGTACATCTTAAATCATCTGTTACATCGCCATGTGCTGAAATCACCCCTTGTCGAATTGTTGTTGGTACACCGAAGGCTGCCACCGTGTATCGAAAGTGCACTGGCATACGAAATTACTGTTTTGTGCCACCCAACGTCGAAGGCCCCAATCATCCATCCTTCACCTCTCGTTGCAGCAACAACGCAGCTTCAACGAACAACGTGGCGTCATCGAATCGTCACCACAACGTGTCCTTCGTTATTGAATCGCCGTGCGTGAGTTTCCATGTCAGTTCCCGCTGTTATCAAGGCACCACGGCACACACATACACACACACACGCAACACACACGCCCGGAAAGGACTGGGAGGTAGCCCCGTTGTCTGGAGAGTGCGGCGTTCGGCAGTATGGACCAGGTACCAAAGCCCTGTCGTCAAAGGTACTACCAAAAGTTGGTCACCTTCCATGTTTTCTTTTTTTATAATTCAAGCCAACCGCAGATTTACTGGTAATTAATTCTACGACGTGCAAATGTTTTACCTCATCCAACCAGTGCAACCTTTCGCATGCAAGTTTTTTTTGTGCCCTTCAATCGACGCTCCTCGAGCTGGCAGTCGACGAGAAACTCCAAACACCATGTTTGCGTCAACAAAGACATAAGCTCAGAGCTCAGTTGTCGACGCCGTAAGCCCGCGCGCCCTTGCTCATCGCTCTTCATCCAACCATCCATCCAACACCTGATACGACTACGCTTGGTGCTTGTTTCGTTCTTCTTTTTGACCCGTCCACACCACTTGAAGGCATCCCTGTTCATTCACCAGCGTGGGCCAACACCCACCATTTTCTTTTGGCTTGTTACTGTCTATCCACGTCATCCACAGTATCATCATCACATCTTGACCAGAATTCTACGAAGACCCACACTGAAACAACCCACCAATTCCCCCCCAAACAACCCACCAATTCACCCCCCCACCCCCCTCTTTTCTCTTTTCTCTTTTCCCTTTCTTTGTTTTCTTTTGTTATCAACCCCTCTGCCGTTTTTTTGTCTTTCTTGCTCATCGTTGCTTCGTGTTCTTTGTTGTCTCACACTTGACCGGTGTTCTTTCGTGCATGGGTGGATGCATTCATTTTTCGCTTCACCCGCTCGTCTCGATTATCCTCCTGCCCGTCCTGTCCCGTCCCTGAGAGCCCCATCCCGCTCGCCGTCGTAAGCCCATTCTGGCACTCTGCTGACACGGGCTCATCGCGTGGGGTTGTGTCAAAACCCATTTTTCTCGGTCTCTCGCTCTTCTCTGTTGGGTCGGTTGCCCTCATTGCCTTCCACGTTGGCGTCCCAGACCCTTCGACTCGTCGTCCATCCATCCATCCCCTCCCTCCTCACACTCACACACACATCCCATCCACCACCCATTTCTTCCCCGTGTTGACCACAACCAAAGTGTTTCCGGGGCTCTGTCTTTTGCCTTTTGCCCCTTGCATGCCAATCTGGCAGCGGTAATTTTTTTTACCCTTTGCCCTTTTGCTGTGTGGTTCCTTTTTTTTTTTTTTTTTGGGTGTGTGAGTGTGTTGTTTTGTTCGTGCTGACTGCTCATCACTCCCATCTCCATCTCCATCTGCCCCTGGACCCGGTCGTTGGTGGTTCAAGGCAGACGGACGTTGGTAAAGGGGTGCCCGCTGTTGGTTGGACTCCAGTCCCTCGCCTCTGCACCGTTGCTTCTCTTTGCACCGCCAATCGCCATCAACCCAACCCGCCTCACGCACGGACGCGTAAGTGTTGGTCAACGGTTTCGGCCGTTGTGCCTCTCTCCTCTTGGTCGTTTCGTGGTGCACTCGCCAGTCACTACAACAGCAAGCCTTCATTCAATCCTCCATCCTGCCCATCCCCGCCGACCCCCCGGCTCGTTTGGGATCAACCAGTCCCTTCTTCCTTCCCTTTGTGACTTGCGGTTTTTTGTTTTCTGCTCCGCTGTTGCTGTTTCGCTTCTGAACGGCCGTTGGAGGGAGAGCTCGTTAGTCAAGCCCAACGACAATTCTTGACCCCCCTTGCCTCCACTTTGCAACCAGCTTAACACACACGCGCACATTATCCAACGGTGTTCCGGTTTACATCGCACTGTTGGTTGCGCTCCTTCCGTCGCCGGCTCGCCTGATTGAGCTCCAGTGACGCTCACACACACCACAAGCGCCATGGCCGACGATGAAGATGTTCAGGTAGACCTCAGCTTTTTCTTTTCCGCTCGCCATTGCTTTGCTGAACCATCGTTTTGGCCCTGTTCTCCAATTTCCCCGGCTCAACCTCCCCCTTGCCTTCTCTTCTTAGGTCTCGGACCATGAGGGCGATGTCGATTCCTCTGGCGTCTCCCGCCATGTTTGTGAAGTTTGTGGCAAAACCTATGCTCGGCGCAACCATCTTTTGCGGTATGTTCCCATGGTCGTTCCCGGCCTTTTGTGCTTTCGTTGCTTGAGAGTCGTTGTTGCTCCTTGCGAATGTGTGTGTGTGTGTGTGTGTGTGTGTGTGTGTGTGTGTGTGTGTGTGTGTGTGTGTGTGTGTGTGTGTGTGTGTGTGTGTGTGTGTGTGTGTGTGTGTGTGTGT